TTCTCTGTTGGCTCGTTCGACAGGATTACTTTCTGGGTGGTATATGGTAGTGTGAATGCTTTTTATCTGCAATCCCTCCATGATTTTGATCCATTTCTGACTTGTGAATTGAGTTCCGTTGTCAGTAAGGATTTTTTGGAATAATCCTATTGTAGGTATGTATTCTCCAATGATCCTTTTAATTATGGTATCTGTGGTAGCTCGTTTTAGAGGATACAACTTGATATACTTGGAGAATAAATCAAGGATGGCAAGGATGTATTTACATCCACCCTGTCCCCTGGGTAGTGGCCCCATGAGGTCGGCTGATACCATCTCCAGTGGTTTCTCCGGGAGTAGGCTGAGTGTTGGTCCCCTGGCCGTAATATTACTTATCTTGGTCCTTTGACACAGATCGCATGTTTTTAATATTCGTTTGATGGTGCGATACATGTTCTGAAATTGGTGGTTTTGCTGCAGTAATTTGTACGTTTTACATGTTCCGCAGTGTCCGTAAATTTCGTGGGTTTCTACTACCAATTGTTGTATTAGTGATTTGGGTACGATCACCTGGTATTCGCCATTATTGGATTTTTTAAATATCATTTGGTTGTACCGTATGAGATTTTGATCGGTGGTCCTGTCTAGTCGTTTCTTCAGCCTTTGGATGTGTTCATCGGTAAGTTGTGCTGATGACAATTCTTTGAATTTGGCTTTTAATTCAGGGCTGTATTCGAGTAGCGCTAACTTGTTAATCACAATTTTTCGAGTGATTGTTTGTATGTCTTCATATGGGGATTGAGGGTACCTGGTCAAAGTGTCGGCTCCGATGTTTTCTTTGCCGGGTATGTGAATGATTTCCAGTTGATATTCTTGTAATAGGGCAGACCATCTTATCAACCGGGAATTGAGGAGTTGACAAGTGTTGAGGAAAGTTAGAGCGTGATGATCAGTAAGTACTTTTATCTTGTGTCCTAACAAATAGTGTCTAAATTTTTTGCACGCAAACACAATAGCTAATAATTCCAATTCGGTGGTATTGTAATTACGTTCTGCAGAGTTGAGGGTTCGACTGGCGAATCCTAGTGTTTGGTGTTGTCCTTCTTCAGTGACCTGATATAACTCTGCTCCGACGTGGGTTGTCGAGGCGTCAGTATTGAGGTAGAATTCTTTAGTGAAGTCTGGGAATTGTATCACAATGTCTTCTAAGAACCTTTTCTTTATGTTGTCGAATGCTTGTTGTTGTGACACACCCCATATCCATTTGGTGTCTTTTTTGGTTAGCATACTTAATTGCTCAGTATCTTGTGATAAGTCTCTTATGAACTTACGGTAAAAGTTGATGAATCCCAAGAATGATTGTATTTGTTTTTTCGTTTTTGGTGGTTGAAAATCATTAATGACTTTTATTTTGTCTGGGTCCATGGATATTCCTTTTTCGGAGATTATATGTCCAAGAAAGATTACTTGATTTTTTAGAAATTGTGATTTCTTACGGTTTATGGTAATATTATGATGTGATAGTTTCTGGAATATTTGTTCAAGATGCTGCATATGTTCTCCAAAACTTTTTGAAGTTATGTGAATATCATCCACGTATATTGCGGCAAATTGCAATATTTCCGGCCCGAGAACTTGGTCCAATATTTTTTGAAATTCAGCCACGGAATTGATCAGGCCAAATGGTAATACTTTGAATTGGTAATTTCTTCCTCTGTGTAGGAAAGCGGTGATTTCTCGACAGTCTCTTCTGAGTGGACATTGCCAGTACCCTGCTGTTAAATCAATAGAACTGAGATACTTCATCCCTTGAAACTTTATTAGTGTTTCTTCCATATTAGTGGGGCATTCTCGGTCAGGTATGATAACCGTATTGATTTTTCGAGCGTCCAAACATAATCTTACATCACCATTTTTCTTTTCGATACATACTATGGGTGATGACCATGGTGATGTGGATTTTTCAATTATACCTAACGCTAACATGCGTTGTATTTCTGCATCGACCCGGGGAATGCGAGCTACTGGTATGGGGTATTGACGTTGGTGAATTGGGTCCCCTGGCTTGACTCGTATTTGGCATTGGAATTCTTGAATTTTCCCTGGTTGATCGGAAAATATTTTTTCATATTTATTTAGTAGAGTCACAAATGTTTGTTTCTCGTCATTAGTGAGTGCTACCTGATTGTCTTCTGGGTTGTCATGGACTTCAACATTGAGTAGATGTTCTTTTGAGTTAATTCGTCGAGGTTTTTGTCTGGCAAACGGTATGGTATGGGTGATTTGGTCTACTCGGAATTGGACAGTTTGTTCATTGAATTTGATTTGTGCTGAGTATTTTTTCAAAATGTCGGCTCCAATTATTCCTTTTTCGTTCAGGTTTTCCACTTGAATGAAGTTGGTTTGTATGTATACATCACCAATTTTGCATTCGCAAAATATTTGTTTGGATACTTTACATATCTTTTTGCCTACTGCGTTGCTTATCTGGATTCCAGTTACTGGAAGTTGTGGTATTTTTTGATTTTTTTGAGTGATTATATCGACTATTTCCTTAGTAAGTACACTTATTGTTGCTCCTGTATCTACAAGTAAGGTGACTTCCTCCCCTTCGATGGTGCATTCAATATATGGACTTATGGATTGGTTGGTGGTGTTCAACGAATTAATTGCATGTTGTCCTGTACCACTATTTTCCGCTTGTTCTTCGTTGTTGGTTGACACTTGGTTGATTTTTTCAGTTTGTGGTGGGTTGTTCTGTTGAGGTTCACCACGTTTGTCATTATTGCGATATGGTTGATTGCCCCAACGGTTGTTGCGTGGTGGCATGTTGTTCCAACCGCTGTTTCGTTGGTGGCTCCAATTATTTTGAGTTTTTTGTCCTGCTTGATTGTTGTTTTGCTGTTGGTTTCGACTGTCATCCTTGTTAGGTTGGCTTTGTCCCTCCTCTCCTAGTATTTTCATTGCTGCTACGATTGTTCTCTCAGGCATCGATACGAGTATAGCTCTCAGATACCCAGGGTAGTGTTTTGCAATGTGTTTAACAATTTCCTGTTCTGATAAGTGAGGTACTTCGAGGTGACGTAGTTTGGTAGCCCAAGTCGCAAAGTGCTCACGAAAATTAGTATTCTGTGGTATTTGGGTGATACTAAGACATTGGCTCCATACTTGTATCTGAATTTCTCGCGACCAGTATTCGTCAATGAATGCCTTCCTGAAGTCGTCGTAGTTGCTTAATTGAAATCTGATGGTGGAAAACCAGCTCAGTGCGGCTGATTTAAGGCAGTCTCCTACAACGATGATTTTTTCTCCCACGTATAGTTGTTTGATTGCAAAGTATTCGTCTAGGCGGTGGAGAAAATCCACAGGGTGTATGTCACGATTGCTCCCGTAGAATGCTGGACGGGTCATTTCGCTAGCATGTCCTGGTTCGGCCCTTGGAGTATTTGCATATTGTTGTTTTTTATTTAAATTATTATAGTTGAATTTAATTTCATTTAATTCGTCTTCAAGTTCTTTGATTTTCTGCATATATCTTTCTTCATTGTCGGCAATTTGTTGTAAGCATTTTTCTTCGTTGTCGGCAATTTGTTGTCGTAATTGATCAACTAATATTTGGCTGTGTCGTTCAATTTCTCTCTTCAGTGCATTGAACTCGTCTTTGCTGACCGTTTCTTTTTTCGGCGGCATTTTGAATGATGTAGATTTTTTTCTTTATAAACGATGTAGTATTCTTGATCTCGAGGTTCGAAGTAGAATTTCTTCTGAATCGAGCACTGTCGTTGGGCGCCAATGTAATGAAACGCTATTGGTTGGTGGTAATTTTCATTTATTTATTTTGAACCAATATGCTCATCATCTTATTTAGATACAAAATATATGTTTTTATAACATTATTTTCTTTTATATCAGTTTTTATTACACTCCAAAGAGTTTACAGTAAAAATAGTTTAATAGGGTTTACATATAAGGGGTGGGAATGTGACAATTAAACTCACGGTTTTGTTGAATCAACGGTGGGTATAGGCTCGGCTCTGGCGGCGGCGTACAAACACAAAGGTCTCAGGGTGCGAGTAGAGGTCCAGTGGTTCCGTTCAGGTAACCTACTGACGTGCTCGACTTATGGTTGTTGATAGAAGTTGACGGCAAGTGACTCGGCTCGAATGGCGGCAAACAATGACTTCTCTTGACGTCTGGCTGATGAATGGTGCTAGTTCGATTACAACGACGGGCTCTGCTCTGGTGGCGGCGGCGTGTAACGTGTCTACAGGTTGTCCGCGGAGTCGTGTTAATACACACTCTGATGGCGCGATGGTAAACGGGAGGTGCCGGTCAAGACTATAGGCACATCCGTGTGTAACGAGTATAAACTCGTCCGGCTTGCGCAGTCTGGGGCAAAGTGCTGTGGAGCGTACAGTATATAGTGTCCGTGTGTAACGAGTGGTATGCTCGTCCGGCTCACTAATATACTGTACTCAGCGGGGAGTTTGGTGATTTGATAGTGTTTTCTGGGTCGTATATATGTTACTTGGGTCCTGTGCGTGATGGTTACAACAGGCAAGGCACTTTTATTGATCCAATGTATTTCCCCATAACATAAAACCGATGTAAAATCCGTACAGTATTCTGTAGGTTCGACTGAATTTTATGGTGCTTTAAAAAGGGTTTTATGTTACGGGGTTTTGTTTGAAAGGGAGCTTTCTTTTGCGGGCGGCATACCGGTGATATTGGAGTTGCGGTATGCGCGCGTTCTAACGGGCGTCGGGAACGGCTGTTCCGGTGTTCCGCATGTAATTACTGCGCGAGAGCGCGTCGTGGTAGTAATATATACTTGATGACGACTGGTAACGAGAGTGCGCTACGGTCATAGAGCGTTCGAGTTTGTCTCGTTACATAGTCCCCTTTTTTATTTTATTTTTCTTTTCATTATACGTCGAGGATTTGAAGCATAAGAAAAAGAAAATAAAAACACAATTCAGTGGTCGTTATCAATATCGAACGTTGGATGGTTTTTCATTGGCTTATTGCTGGTGTCGTTTTCGAAGGTCTTTTATTTGCCTCGTTTTTTCCTGATAGATTAATCTTTTTAACTGTGTGTTGGAGATGTCTCCAAAGTCTTTAGTAAACTTGCTCATAGTGAGGACATCTTTCTTAAAATCATTGTATGACCCTTTATTCTTCTGTAATAACTGCGTGATTCGGTCTTGGACTGGGTCTGAGTCGTGACTGCTTATGTGGCTGCTGTCAGAGCTGAGCTCACTTAACGGTGACCTTCCGACTTCAAGGGCTTCGGTGTCGACGGGTTCGATATCATCGCTATCGGTAACGATCGTGTCAGGTGATGAGGAGCAGTCTGATTCCTCATACTCTTCTGTAGGTACATGGTGGTCTTGGGGAGTGGATATGTCTTCAGGCATATCTTCTAACACTTCTTCTGGTTCTGCAATGATCGGTTCTGTACATGATTCTGGTTGATAAACTTTGACTAATTGGACAGATGCAGGGATGGTCCATACAGGTTCCAATACGTAGCGAGTTCTTTTCGCAGCTTCTTCTCGGTAGAACTGAGCAATACGTTTTTTCTGATCACCAGTGAGAAATCGATCTATGTGTGTCAGTTCGATCTTGTGGAGGGATGGCTTGATGCGGTCTAACGGGATTCTGACATGGATAGGCATGATGATTTCGGTTCTGTTTTGCCTACGGGGAAATGGGTTAGTTGGATTTACAATATTTTTTTTTTTATTTTTTGTTGGTTAGATTCACAGACATTTAGGTTAGTTACATTTCTTTTATACAGTTTTTATACAGTTTTTTTTTTATTTATTTTTTTTTTTTTTTTTTTTATTTATTTACATAGGTGTTGGCATCATACAGAGTTATTGTTGTTCGTCAGTGGCACTGACCAGAGACGGAGGGTTTACTTCATGGTATTGTTTTATATTTTGATAGTTGTATGTTCGTCGTCTTCCAGCGGTGTCCTCTACAGTGACTGTATTGTTGTTGTGTATCTCACATATTTGATATGGTCCATGGTACAAGAGAAATAGTTTGTGAGTTTCTCGGTCTTCCGCGGAGGATAGCCGATGTTCTTTTACTAAAATTTTCATCCCGACAGTGTATTCTGGGAACTTTTTCCCACGGTCTTTGTATTCATTTCGTGTTTGTGATTTTTGTTTAGTCCTCTTGATGACAAGTTGTATGACATTGGGTATAGGATCAGCTATTGTGTATTTTGGAAATTTGACTAGTTCAGTTATGGATAAAGGTGTATTCTTGCCATACATAATAAACTGAGGGGTGAATCCAGTCGTGGTGTGTGTGGTATTGTTGATCCAAAATTCCACATTGCTCAGCCATCGGAGCCAATTAGTATGTTGCTTGTGGCAATATGTTCGTAGTAACCTTCCGATTTCTCTGTTGGCTCGTTCGACAGGATTACTTTCTGGGTGGTATATGGTAGTGTGAATGCTTTTTATCTGCAATCCCTCCATGATTTTGATCCATTTCTGACTTGTGAATTGAGTTCCGTTGTCAGTAAGGATTTTTTGGAATAATCCTATTGTAGGTATGTATTCTCCAATGATCCTTTTAATTATGGTATCTGTGGTAGCTCGTTTTAGAGGATACAACTTGATATACTTGGAGAATAAATCAAGGATGGCAAGGATGTATTTACATCCACCCTGTCCCCTGGGTAGTGGCCCCATGAGGTCGGCTGATACCATCTCCAGTGGTTTCTCCGGGAGTAGGCTGAGTGTTGGTCCCCTGGCCGTAATATTACTTATCTTGGTCCTTTGACACAGATCGCATGTTTTTAATATTCGTTTGATGGTGCGATACATGTTCTGAAATTGGTGGTTTTGCTGCAGTAATTTGTACGTTTTACATGTTCCGCAGTGTCCGTAAATTTCGTGGGTTTCTACTACCAATTGTTGTATTAGTGATTTGGGTACGATCACCTGGTATTCGCCATTATTGGATTTTTGGACGCTCGGAGAGCTAGTCTCTTATATTATAAAACGAGGTTAGTCCCCAGTTTTGTCCACGGGGATAGACGACTTTGTGTCGTTTTTTCCGGCCCGGCCAATCGCAACGTTCAGATTCTGCGGCGGGCAATAACCGCGTTATCACTTCTTTTCTTATCATTTTCGAAATTTTCGAAATTTACACTTTTTACACGATTTCGACCGTTTTCTAGCCTTTTTCGCTCATATTCATATTTGATTCGCGTAGCTCGCGATCTCTCGAAGCCGCCGGTTTGCGGTTTATATCCGTTCGCCGTCCGTAGCCGTCGCAATGTCGATCGCAAAATACGCTCCCGGCCGGACTTTTTTGCCGATTTCTTTCGTTTTCTCCGACAGTTTCGTCTTTTCGCACGTCGTTCGTGCCCGAATCGTGTAGTTGACGTCTTTCTAAAGCCGTATATATACGCTTTTCTTACGAAATCGGTCGGTTCGCTTCGCAATCGCGTTTAGAAATTACGACCGACCGTACGCGTATATATACATGTATGTACGTGTATAATTTAATTTTTGCCTATTGATTTAATAATTATTAACGGAAAATGCTTTAAATATATATATGGGAGATGCGCGTATTATAAGCGAATTATATGCGATTACATCGATGAACATCGAATATATCGGCTTACGTCGCTCCGTAGACGCACGGCTTAATTGTTGATGTTTTGACCGTAATTCATATCTCAAATTGTGTCCGAGTAGGTTAGGCGTTAGGTAGATTACACGTAGGTCCCGGGTTCGAATCCCCGTCGTACGCTTTCAGGGCGTCGTTACGGTCATTTCCATATGGTGTACACGGCCGCCCGGATCCCGAATATTTTTTGCATTTTTTTCCCGTAATTTTACAAATTTCCGATCTTTTCTCTTTACTATTATTATTATTTTAACTTTACTTTGTGTATGTACGTTCAATTTTTGTTAATTAATCTACCATATTTCATTTTTTATGTATTAATATTATATGTATTTATGTAGGTAAGCATGTTTTTTTTCGATTTTCTTACGTTATTTTACAAATTATAGTTACTGGTTTTTTTAAATTTTTATAATATTACTTGACTGTATCTATGAATATTTTTACTACTAAATTTTTATACCATTATATTATGTCATGTCCCTTCATCGTTGTATTTTAACTATTGTATTTTTACCTGATTAATTGTTTATTTTAAAAAAAAGTATAATGTCATGTACATAATTGTAATTTAACTATTGCATTTCTTACTAATTGCATGCCTGTATATAAAAAAATATATTATAATGTGTATAAATGTAATTTAACTATTAAATTGTTTATATAGAAAAAATATACCTAATGTTAAGTACATAATGTAACTTAACTATTGCATTTTTAACTAATTATTCTAAACACGGTTTTATGTATTCATTACGGTTTTACAATCACTGTCAATTCATTTGTTTGTTTGTACAAAATATATCTTATCATTGTAGGTACTACTATTTCAACTATGTAACCAGGGCCGGATCTAGGGGGGAGGACTGGGGAAGTCGGGGATTTATCCCCGGGCGTATAATTTTCGTGGGCGTATTTTTAAGGTTTTAAATATTTTGTAAATTGAAAATTGAAAATGGACTTTAAAACAAAAGTCAAAACTAAGTTCAAAATAATATTTCACAAGAACTGTGTAATATTGGGTATGTGAATAAAATAAAATAATTTTATTTTTAATTGAGATTAGTAATAACTAATAACATTGATTTAAATATTAAAAAGGTAAAAAATAGATAAAAATATAAAATAAATAAAACCCGTCCGCATCTTACTGTCAGCGGGAGTGTACATGCATTAGTCTATCATAAATAAATTAATGTACTCTCCGATTAGTGACATAATAAAGTATGGTAAATTACATCATTTTCTTGCATATAATATAATATTATGTAGATAGTTGTTTAAAACCTTAATCTTAAAAATCACACTATTAATTGTAATTCATTGTTATGTAATTTTAAATTAACAACTATACATTTTTCCAAATAGGTAGGTACTGCATAAAATTATGTACTACATAAAATGTTACTTAGGTACTAATGATTTAATTGTTTTCAGATTATTTATTAAATTACACGTTCGTACCTAGACTTATAAAAGTCTTTGTATTTAACAACAAATGCCTTTTTATAAATGTCACTATGGCCACTAGATAAATGTAACAGAACACAAAATGGAATATAATTTGTCATTTGTGTTTGCTTTTTAGTTTTTAAATAGGTACAAGAATACAACTACCTATTAATTTACTTGATAAACTTGATACTACAAAAGTACAACATAATTAAATGATTAAAACAAAAATACTATCCTATTGATTGTAGCCCAAGACAGATTGAATATTATGTTTTACATATTATATTAAAATAATTTAAAAGGAAATTTATATTCTATTTGGTTCGTTTTTTTTTATTATAAACTGTGTTTTTTGTCTGATTTATTTTTATAGTTCAAGATGTCAAACAGACAACCAGGTCCTTATTATTCTGGAAATTTTTAAAATGTAGAATGTAGAATGTAGTTATTTTAGTATATAGGTACATTCAATCCATAAGTGATAATCCATGATAAATATTTCTTTGTCGTGTTATAATCATTATATTACAATTTTCAGTACATAATTACATTTTTGTTTCATTGTATTTATTCCGTACCTAGGTACATATTATTAGTTTTGATTGTAACAATTATTAAAAATGAAAATGTATAATATTGATAGGTATGTTGTAAATTAAATATTGTTCTTTTTCCTATATTAAAAGTAAGCAATGGATACCTAATTTAGATTTGTTAATAAATAATTCATACATGTTATTATTATCAATATTATTTATTCTAAACCTGGAACTTAGAAATATTGACCACAGATTTTAGCTTTAAATACACCATTAAGAAGTGCTTCTAAAACTATATTACGTGAATAGTTTAAATTTTAAAATGTTTCATTTTTAAGTTAAAATCGTTCAAATTATTTGTGGTAAATAAATGATCATAGGCGCACATTGGGTGTGAATTTAGGGGGTGCTGGAATAATTTATGATTCACAGATCCGTGGGGGGCTTTGCCCCCCACACAACCCTAAATCCTAATATTTCTGCATTGCATTAGATTTAATTTGTATAGTGTATTCAATAATATCTAAAGTGCAATGTATCAAATAGTCTGTATGATTGTACAGAAGACGCTAGGTACACCAACATGTGTTGTCTCCGTATTACAAACGTAGGTACAACATAGGCAAAACTGTTTTGCACGGGTATAAAAAACTTTAAGGCTGTACTCTAAGCTAAGAAAGTAAGAAACTAAATGTTCACACTATAAATATGAGAAAATTTACTGTGTAACTTTGTTTTTATATTTCATAAAATTTGAAAACAATATATTAGGAGCCTTCTATTACATTTTTAAGCTTTTATACCCAACAAATAAAATTTTATTGATACTTATAGAAAAAAAACTAAACAAAATGGAAACTAAAAATGTCCATAAAAACCTCAAAATAACTCAAAATATTTAGAAAATTTTATCATGCATAGAAAATGGAAATATAAATAACCAGTAAGATAATATAATTTTCTATAATGATATGATATAATATGATTGCTACATACTGTTTAATGTTTTGACAAAAACTGAAACA